CCCTCGGAAATCCCTGGATGAGGTATTTCCTCACAGCACAGAGGAAAGACCATGCAGCCGGTCAGGCTGAGTTTCAGCAGGCAGCTGGCTGCCCCTTTGTCCCCTAGAGTGACTGGCCAGTTCCCTAGGGTGGAGCTCTGCAGGGGACTGAGGGAAGTGAGGCAGAAGGACTCATGGCTTTCTGGGCTAGGGGAAAGGGCACTTGGCTCTTACACTGTCTGGTCTTTGGCTCATTTATGAAATGCGAATCAAAACCATTTGTCTGGGCTGGCTGGTGTAGCTCAATGGTAGAGCACTTGGCCAGCACATGCAAGACCCTGGGTTTGATCCCCAGCACAACAAAACAAAAACAAAAACAAGACAACAGCAACAAAGACCACTTGTCTGCCTGCTTCATTGGACCAACAGAGACAATGGATGGGAGGCCCTGAAGCCCTTGGGGAGGGGCTAGAACAAGACCATGAACTCTAGGGTATCAACTTCTTTCCTCTACTCCATCCCTTCTTCTTTGTCTGCCATCATTGCCTTGGCAGTTTAAAGACCTTTGCAAGTCTTTAGTGTGTGTGTGTGTGTGTGTGTGTGTGATCATTCATCAAAAAGAAAGGTTTCCTTCTGGCCTTCCTGTACACCCAGTACAAATGTAACCACTCTCCAAAAGATAAGAGGACCACACGTCAGCAGAGATGGTGGAGAATCCAGGGCCAACACATTTATTATTTGGATGGTGGGTATCATAGGAGTTAGAACCTTTGGAAGCAGCACATGTTGTCCAGAAAAGTCTGTCCCTTTGGATGAACGCTATGGTGGGACTCCCCCTTACCACCCTCTCCCCTACCACCAAACACTTTCCCTTTGACTTCCAATCTCTGCCCCTACTTCTTTGCATTTTTGTAAAAATATTTGGCTTGACAAATACCTCAGTTGTTTAATTATAACATAATTTCCCTCTACCCAATCTGTGTACTTCTGGCTGTCCCCATGCAGCGTCATGGGAGAGTGTGACTGAGTCATGGGCGGTGGCTGATTCTCCAGGTCTCTGGGCTGCTCTGGGCCAGACCAGGGAAGGATGAAGAGGTAGGTACTCTGGCCGCTCACCACCCAGAGAGCCGAAAGCCTGGCAGGTCTAGTCGGAAAGAATCCCCGAAGGGGAGCTGTTACCAGGAGGCAGTGTCCTCACTGCCTCTCCAGAGGAGAGTCTGTGCAAAACAAGGGACATGTCATCACAGGAAAATAAATCACTGGGCCCTTTTGGGACTGTTTGATGAGAGACTCTTTGACCAACTGGGAGAGGACAGCCACTTGCTGCTGGCTTTTGGAAGCTGCCATGGAGACATTTCCTGGGACCGGGTAGGTCTAGGGGGTAGTTAGATGTGCAGCAAACCAAAGCCGTCATGAGAAAGCCAGTTCCTCCAGAAAAGCCTGCCACCCTGGATAGCCAGCTTTTGGGGCAGATGTCTCCTTCGGTCTGTTCTTTTGGAACAATCCCAGGACCCAGAGCTTACCCCTGCTCCCCACAGGCAGCCACACTGTGACCACTCTTGTCCTGAGCTCACTGCCTGGCTGACACCAGCCAAGGCAAAAAGGCTTTGGGAATGGTTTGTTGATTGAACACACAAAGAACACAGATTCGGGGTGTATTTGGTTTTTGGTATTGTTTATTTTTTAAACCCACTTGTATTTTGGGTTCGGCTGGAAAGCAGGACGTGGAGGGAAGGTGGTGGTGCGAGCAGGATTCGCTGCAGCTTTGGCAGGAAGCCCCAGGCCCCTGCTCCAGGAAGGCAGGTCCTGTCATCCGGCTCCCAGCTGGCTCAGGTGAGGTGCCAGCCCTGCCTCACAAGTGTCCTGAGCAGAGGACAGTTGTCTGCGTTCCAATCCGCCTCCTCAAAGGCTCAGCAGAGGTTTACTAACACAGCGCCCAGCAGCTGAGGGTCACCATGCCATTGGCAGGCCTGAGAGTCTGGGACAAGGAACACTGGCTGGCTTCTGATTCCAGATAACAGCCTGGGACTTGGCTTCCTGGAGGCCGCTGTCTGGGGTGGCCCCAGGGGGCTGCTCCTCTTGGCCCCAGGCTGTCTGGACCTCCACCCCTGCAGCTGCCTGGGGTGTGATCCGTGGTACAGTCCCCACCCCCCCGCCCCTCAGAGAAAATAATAAAATAAAAAATAAAATTAGAATAAATACCGACTAGGTCAACATTTACATTTGCACAGATGGACAGGACGATCCCCAGACTGTAAAGGTTTACAGACTGATTAAGGAAGGATGAACAGATGAGGCTGGGTTTGCGGTGTACACTTCCCATGGAGGAAAGTGGGGTTCCTGGCCTTATCCAGGGGAGGCTGGGAGTCCTATTAGGGCAACAGTCCGGAGCTTAGCCACCAGGCAGTGGGGAACAGGATAGAGGCAAGAAGGCTGCCTGAGGAAAACAGTGACTAACTCATCCTGACAGGCAGCGGGGAGACAGAGAAGAATCCACATCAGATGGCCTCACTGTGTCTCTGTCATGCGCCAAGAACGGCGGGTGAGCAGGGACAACACAAGCTTCAGAGATGTAATGTCCAGTCCTGCCTCCCATCAAGTACACTCAGCCAACTTGGCTATGACCTTCCTCTTGAAGCACCGGGGGCTCTGGCCTGGGGAGGGAGCAGGGTTTTGTGGGGTGCCTGCTTCTACCCCTACTTCCTGCCTGAATGGTCTCCCATGAGAAGCTGACCTAGACTCTAACACTTTAGGCTTTACTGTTGTTTCTTCTTTCAAAAACAAATTAAAAAAAAAAAAAAGTTTTCCTTCCATGTCTGAAAGAGCAGCAGCGACCTGCATTTACAAAACCAGCTAGAGTGTCATTCGAATGAGCTAGGAAGCATCCTCAAGCAAGGTGACACACTAGGGAAACTGTGGCTGGAGCCGTGGGGACACGACACGTAATTAAAAATATATTTATATAAGTATACGTATTTATATCTCACTTCTTCACACTGGTCCTCACAGCCAAGGGGGGGCTGGCCTTGAAGCAGGACCCCCCCACCCCGCAACGGACCATTAGGAGGGAGGTACATTACCCATGGTGCCTACAATGCTACCTGTGTCTGCTTCCATGGGGGGGGGGCGCCAGCCCTTCCATACAGCGTTTGGAGACCCTTGGAGCTTGCTCTGGGAGCTCAATGAGGGGTCTAGGAGACCCCAAACCCTTGTTCCTCTGTGACCTGAGCCCCCACTGTCAGGCCCCTCTTCTTCAGAGTCTGGCCTCATTCTTAAGCAGATGCACCCCCACCCTCCACACACTCATGCACACTTGCACTCACCCCCCCACCCCCCCACTCACACCTGAGGGAAGCAGGCCCCTCCGGGCACAGATGTGGCTCTCTGAGGCTGCCGGGAGCAGCTGTTTGCCTGGCGGGGCTGACTGACTCCACCAGAGCCTGATTTCCCTGATGCCCTGTCTCTGAGCATCCGCCATCAACCCAGCTCTTCCCTCAGGGCCTCCTGTGGGGCTTGTGGTGTCCCTGGGCCCCAGGCTGGGCCCAAGAGCTGGCACAGGAGCCAAGGCAGCAAAAAGCAGTTTGAGAAAGCTTGTAAAGGAAGGGTGGGGGCAGCACAGGCTGTTGGCACAGGCCATTGACCTGTTTCTGGGAAACCTCTGCCCTCCATACCTTGTCCCCAACAGGCTCTTTTTGGGGACTGGCACGTGTTCCATCCTGGGACTGATAGGCAGTTTTCAGTGGAAAGCCAGGGAGAACTGGGGACCTTCTTCCCACCCCTCCTGCCTGCCCTCCTGGACTCAGGAACAATGGAGAGAAACCTTCCCCAGCCTTCACTCCCAGCTAGGCTTATTTGGACTAGAAGGCTACAGGAGCCTGACCAGCCTCAATAAAGGAGCAAATCAGGAAGCCGCTGGGCTCTGATGGCCTAGCTATCCTCCCAAACTTGACCTGGTCCTCCTCTCTGGCTTTACATAAGGGGCTGCTTCCCATGACTGGGGCCTTCCATGAAACCCCGGTCTCATTTCTGGCCTGGAAATCTCCATCTGGTGATCCTACCTGGTCACCTGACTGTCCTTGTCATGACTCCATGAATTTGCCCCTTCCCAACAGCTGGGGAGGGTGGAACTTCTGGATCCTGCTTGGGATAAGACTCCAAGTCCTGGGGATCCAGGCAGCCTCCACCCCACTCCTACCCCTATAGGAGCTAGGAACGTGACTTGAATTTTGGTTTTAATTTGCCAGCTTTCTTTAGGGCTATGTTTGCCACAAGGTCCCTGGGCCAGGACCGGGTCTAAGGTATCAGCACTTTGAGAACTAGCCACTGGGCCACTGGAATATGAGAGCAGAGGCATTGCAGGCCAGGGGCCAGGAACATAGGATTGCAGCTGGGACCCCCACTGGGGCAACAGTTTCCAATTACCCTAATTAGCTACTGGCAAGCTGTCTGTGGCTACAGTCCTTCCAGCGGAGGCCAGGTTTGATCTTCCACTAATCAGGGGGTCCTCGTGAGGCTGACTGTGTGATCACATCCAAGGGCATTTTCATTGAGAGAAGCGACTTCAAAGCTACCAACTTTTGAAAAATAAAAGCACAATAAAATAAAAGGATACAAGGTGAGTTGTGAGCTTCGGTTCCCCTCCCTGCTGCCAGAGCTCCCCATAGGCCCTGGGGGGGTGGGGGGGCTGGGGACCCAGGGCTGGAGGAATTGAAGTTGAGAGGGTGGAGCAAGAAGGTTAGAGAAAATGCTTCTCCCCAGCTCCTCTGTGGCTGACAAAGGCCGTCAATTACGGTGGCTGGTGGAGACCGTGCCTGCCTTTGTCCTCCCAGACATCTGCTACATGTCGCCTGCTGCCAGTTGGCGACTGTGGCTGACAGCACGCAGGAACAATGTGAGCCCATCTCGACCCACTTTTTTCAGCCTTCTGAGGTCCTTTCTGACCCAAGAGGTGGCCGGTGTGTGGGGCTGTCGGGGGGGATGGGGTGGGGGCGGTGTGTGTTTGGATGGTGGGGGATGGGGAGGGCTGGGAGGGCCACCATGACAAAGAAACATGCTTCCCTTATTGGTGTGAGCTGTCGCATGCTCAGGCTGGGGGGTTGCATGGGGTGGGGAGGGGTACCCTTTTCAGGGATTTGATCCCTCCCCTGGCTGGCTCCAGACTGGCCACAGACTCTGCTGGCCTTCCTGCCTATTTCTTTCTCTCGCCAGGGCCACCCCTATCCTCCCGCATGTCCATCTGGCCCTGTACACCAGGGCCCCAGCTGCCCATGGGCCGCCCGCCAGGCCCTCTTGCTGTCAGGCTGTCAGTTTCTGGATGGTTCTGTTGTAGTACTGCGTGATGGGGGGCGTCAGAGGGTTCCAGCTGTTGGCGTGGAGCTCAATAACCTCCAGGAGCAGGGACCGTGTCAGCATGGACTCCGAGGGGCACAGCATCTTATCTCGGGCGCTGGCCAGGAGCTCGGTCATCATCTCAGGCAACTGCTCCTCCAGCAGCCGGCCTGTACTCTGCAGCTGAAGGCACAGAAGTGTGGTTAGGACAGGACTTAGGCCCCTCCATGCTCCCCTGCCCCCCACCTTGGTTAGGTGGGCTGGAGGCAAGGACAAGAAATAGCTGCATTGTCCTAGGGGCATGCTGAGCCCAGGCAGGAAGAGCCAACTGAGATCCATCTGCCAGCAGGAATGAGATAAACCAGACTATTGCCTGCCTCGCCAGGAACATGTCTCTTGTCCCTTCCACTCCAGAACTTCCCCTCCTACAGGAAGCCTTCCCTGACTACACCCTCTCATGGCCCTGTGGTCTGCTCCTGATCATGGGTGTTCAGATGGCACTGTGTTGATTTCCATTTGCCAGGGTGTCTCTGGAAACTAGAGTGGTCATTATTACCTGATTGTTGTGTCTGTGTGGAACCTGAGAGCAGGGAAGAAATCTCGCATCTCTCTCTCTCTCTCTCTCTCTCTCTCTCACACACACACACACACACACACACACACACACACACACACACACACTCCTCCTCTCTCCTGCCTCAGTCAGTCCTACCTCCCAGCCTCAGAACTGACCCCTGCCCACACAATTTTGATGACAGGAGGCAATATGAACTAGGGCAGGAGGCCAGCCAGGCAATCTTGAGAACACTGGTAATCTTGAAAAGCCTCCCTTGGAAAGGAGGAGCCCCAGTCTTTCTGGATCAGTGCAGCCCCAGCCTGCAGCCCCCACAGACCCTCCCCATATATTTCAATTCCCATTGTCGGATTACCCTTAGCCATGTCCCACTTGCTTTCCAAGGCTCCACCTTCTTCACAAAGCTTTCCTGGACCTTTGGGCCCATCCTGATCTCTCCCCTGACTTCTCAGGGATCTATGTTCTGCATTCACACTTATTCCATACACTGCCCCCACCCCTGTGTGTGTGTGTGTGTGTGTGTGTGAGAGAGAGAGAGAGCGCACTTGGAAGCTGTCTGGGGGTAGGGACCATGCCTTTACCTTTACCCCGATCTCCCCAGCTGGAGCCCAACAAATGAACTGTGTGATAATCCCACAGATCCACGGTTACTGTCCAGGCTCCCTGCACTTCTGGCCTCTGAGCTCCTGGGCATGGCCTTTGCAGCCTGAGCAAAGCCACCTGACAGGTGAGCTTTTTGGAGAGGCAGGCTGCATCTTCATGCTGGAGGCCCCCTCCTCCCTATGCCCCACACTGTATGAGTGACTCCAGGCTGTTTGCAGAGGGCAAGATCTGCCCCAGCAACGCAGCAAAGCCAGCCTCTGAAGGAAGATCCTGAAGGAAGAGTGCCAGTGCTCAGGGGCCACACTTTGGGATCAGGAGTGGTGCCTCCCACAGGGGCTCAGTCAGCATGCCACCAAGGCAAAGGAAGGTATTTGACAAAAGCAGGTTACTTGGAGCCTTTTAAATCATTAGTGTGGACTGTTTCACCCAAGGAGCAGGTGGTCTTGGGGACAGAGGCAAGTGGGCAGTGCCAGCCCTCCCCTCTGCCTATCCCTCTAGAAAAGCAGTTCTCTCTCCCTGCAGTTAGCAGCGCCTCTCACCACGGGTGGGGCCCGTGGATGCTTCATCGCCCCCGTCTGTGAGGTGTGGGGACATGTGGGTCTGAGGTTGGGACAGCTTACCTCCATAGAGCAACAGAGGACAGCATCTTCCTTCACATCCTGAGATTGCAAGAGCTACGGAAGAGAGGAGGCCAGTCAGGGTGGTCTATGGCTGCCAGCCCCCAAAGCCAGACTACCTTCCCTGCCCTGCGCACTCCACACCCAGTCCTGACACACACAGGTGGGTGACAAACTTCTCCACTGGGTCAGGAGCCCTGGGCCTGGCATGGACCCAACACTGCAAATCCAAAACCAAGACGGCACAGACTCACACACAGACAGGAAGCACCTCGTAACCAAAGCCATGGTCAGGTTGCTCAGGGCTCAGCCTGCCCAGGCTTCCCTCTACCTGTCTGGCTCATTCTCTCCGTCTCGCTCTTTTTAAATTGAGATAGAATTCACAAACCATAAAACTCTTCATTCAAAAGCATACAGTTGAGTGGGTTTTAGGATATTCAGAATTATGTGACCGTCATCACTATTTAGTTCCAGAACATAGCTATCATCCTCAAAAGAAATCTATGCCTGTTAGCAGTTGCTCCCCATTCCTGAACCCACACAGGTGCCACATGCCACATACCACATGTCACATGCATAATATTTGCTGTACTATTGCTAGAGTGAAAACCAGAAAGTAACTTGGGAGACTGGGTGTGGTAACTCATGCCTGTAATCCTAGCTACTCAGAAGGCTGAGATTGGAGGATTGAGGTTTGAGGCCAGCCCCAGGAAAAAAAGTTTTAAAAAGTTATCTAGACCCCCATCTCAGCCAATGGCTGGGATGTCATCCCAGCTAGGAGGGAAGCACAAATAGGAGAATTGTGATCCAGACTGGCCCTGGCATAAAGAGAGAACCTATCTCAAAATAAATAACACAAAAAGGACTGGAGGCATAGCTCAAGTGGTAGAGAGCATGCCTAGTGCAAGGCCTTGAGTTCAAACCCCAGTAGTGAAAAAAAAAAAAGTTAACTTGGGTGTGCACCTGATGCATCTGCACTGTGGTGTACACTAAGGCACATGGCTGGCTGCCCCTCCCTTCCACACGGCTGTTGACTTCTGGAGTTTTCTTGTCTCCAGTCCCAGGGCTGTGGGTCCTAAAGGAGAGTCCAGGAGGCTTCCACTAAACCAATGTCCCTTTGTGCAGCTTTGAGGGGCTGCACAGGGAAAGGTCTCCCCGATCTGAAGGCTGCAGGAGGCCAGAGTGAAAACCAAGCAGTTGGGTGATGCATTTCTCTTAGGCACCTGGGCCAGCATTCCTCCCAGCCTGGCAGAGGCTGGTCCTAAGGCTAGCAGTGTCCATGGGAAGGGTGGGCTTGGTCCCGCTTACTCTACAGGGCAGCTGGGAACTCCCAAGAAGAGACCTTTGTGCAGTTCTCTGGGAGTTCCTGCTATGGTAAATTTCTCTTATACATCTGCCCTGGTGCTTAATAGGAGAAAATCCTTAAAATAAAAATGGCTGGTAGAAATCACAGAAGGGGGGAAGGTCAGGTATCTGGTGAAAGGGGCTCCTGAAACAGAGTGGGTGGTGATGCTGGATGAGGAAGAGAACCCGGGAACCGGCAGGAGGATGGAAAGTGGGTTCATGGTGTACCTGGGCCTCCGTGGCACATAGTGGCTGCTCAGTGAGGTTTCTCATGTGCTTGAGGGTGGTTTCTGTCCTGAAACTAGTTTTTTAGGGACTCTAGTACTGTCCCTGTGGCCTGCCAGGTTCTGGGGTTTAGGGACAGGTGAGATAACATTGAAGGAAATTCCTCAAAGAGCCAGGGCCCGATGAGCAAAAGCTGCTGTGCTTTGTGGGTGTCACTCCTGCTGGAAAGTGGCCCTGCAGACACTCCTGTCTGGCCTGCAGGGAGAGCTTCACGCAACAGTCAGCAGAGTGCTTTGCTCTCCTGATCCAATGTCTCCTGGTTTCTTCTGCAGCCCAAGGCCTGCCTGCCCCTGGGTTCCAGTGACAGGACAAGGGAGTCACTCCTCTACATGACGAGTTGTCCTCTTCTTCCTCTCCTCTTCCACCATCTTTGTGACCACACTGTGTCCCCTCTGGTGGCCCAGACTCCCCACAGCCATTCTCCTGGGGGTTACTGCCTCTGTCCCTATCCCGGGTCTCATACTGCCAGGGAGGGGGCAGACAGCTGAGGACTCTCAGAGCTGTAGGAGGGTTTTCTCCTCCAAACTTTTCTCTCGCTTGGTTGTTTGGGAAAGTCTGTGTGAAGCCAAAAATCACACCGTGTGATTGTCTCTTGCATGTGGCCTGCTGAGCTTTCTCAGGGAAGTCATGGAAGGCAGAGAGTCTTTCATTTCCTCTTCCTTGGCAGTTTCTGGAATGTGAAGGGAACTGGTGGCTGCAGACCATGGCTGGTCGCTCCTCAAGTGCAGACTTGGTCACTAGATGCCAGCTCTTGAGAGTGGAATCCTAGACCCTGTGGAGGGCGGTTCCTTCAACCTCCCTGACTGACCTCTGAGGGAACCTCACTGGTCCCACATGCACAGCCGGAAGTCCCTGCCTGCTTTGTGTGTAATAACAAGCTGGCCTGCCTCACCCAGGCATCCCTTTGAGGTCCTTCTCCCAGGCTCCCCAGGCCTCTGACTTCCCAGGACTCCCTGCTGGACTTGACCTTTGTGGGCAAATGTGGTACCTTTCCACTCTTCTACCTTGGCCCAAACTTCCTGTTCTGTGCCCCATTTCTTCAAGGTTCTGTTTTCTAGGTTTTGGATAAGTGAACCCTGCAGGAGTGTAGAGAGCTCTCTCATCTATGTGCACTCTCCTTGGGATCTTCAAGAGGTGATTGCTTTGTTTAACTCAAAGACAAGTCTTGAAAAGTAGTGGCCAACCAGACATATGACCTATACACTTACCGCATAGCTCCATGATTGACAGTAGCAAAAGGGTGGAGCAACCTAGGTGTCCACCAATGGATGGATGGACAAACAAGTGCTCCATCCATCCAATGGGATATTATTCAGCCTTAAAAAGGAAGGAAGTTCTGACATAGGCTACCGCATGGATGAACCTTCAAGACACTACACTAAATAAAACAAGCCAGGCACAATGGACAAACATTGTATGATTCCACTTCTGTGAGGAACTTAGAATATTCAAATTCACAGAGACAGGGGCTAGGGGTCAGGAACGAGGAGTTATTGTTTAATAGGGTTTCTGTGTGGGAAGAGGAGAACGTTCTGGAGGCAGATTGTGGGAATGGTTATATAGCAACGCTAATGGAGTTAATGCCACGTAAGTGTACACTTAAAGATGGTTAAAATGGTCAATTTTATGTGTATTTTGCCACAATAAAAACCTGGTTGTACAAAAAAGGACAATGGCCTGGGAGGGCAGGACTGTCCCTCTTCCATGCCACCCCTGGGGATGAAGGGCTGTATCGGAGGAGCAGGGCTGCCTGCCCTGTGGCTGGAGGCCTGAGATGGGGTATAGGCAGCCCCTCATCCAGGTCTCTGGCACAGACAGAGATGTGGGCGGGCCGGGGCAGGCAAGCCACCGGCGCCCTCGCACAGAGAATGTGTTTCTTGGATGAGAATCGGAGGCAATTGTGCGAGCCCACACAGTGTTTGTTCGGAAGCGAATGCATTCCTCCCCTATTGTCTCTGTCGGATCCTTGTTGTGGGCACGCCCATCACATCCTCCCTCAGGGAGAAGAAGCCAAGGTGCTCGAGTCAGGCTGTGGGAGGCCGACAACAACTTGGGGGAAGAGCATCCCAGAGTCCCCAGAGAAGGGCATGGGCAGGCTGCCCAAGGCGTGCCCAGGATGGAACCAAGCTGGCTGCTTGGGATGCCACCCAGGAGAGAAGGAAAGAGGGCACTGATGGAAGGACCCTCCGGGGCCACCGTGCTGTGCAGGCAGGGATGAGCACTGGGGTGGGGGCGGAGGGAGGCACATGTCAACCTGAGGCATGCAACCCCAGCTCACCGACAGCACATTCTGAAGCCTTGGCAGCTTAGAGTCAGCTGTCTAATGTGCAACCGCTAAAGCTCTGCTCAGACGCTGCCTGCAGGATCGTCTGTCCTTCAGTGGGGTGCAGGTGGGCCGGGGATAGAGCAGTGAGGGAGCAGGAAGTTTACTGAGCACCTGGATCGACAGCTTTGCTGGAGAACAAAGCCCAGCGGAGTGCTCTGATTGGCTGGCTGGCTGGCTAGAAGGGCCAGGGCTTGGCAGGACAAGCTGAGAGTGTGGAAGAAGTCACTGGCCAGAGGAGTGAGAAAGGGCTAGTGGAGTGGCAAGTGTGAGGCCCTGAGTTCAAACTCCAGTGGCGCCTGCCCCCCCCAAAAAACCAAAAACCAAAAAACCCTCCCCAGAGGAGTGAGAAAAAAGGAGAGCAGAGTGTAGGAGGTGGAGGAGCTATAGCGATGGGCACAAATGCTGACAGTGGAGACAAAGGGGATAGGGAGACGAATAGAGGCAGAGCCAGAGGAGACAGCCCTGTCATATAGAATAGGGCCCAGAATAGTGACACGGGGGAGGAGAGGGGAGGGTGGGCTGCACATGGCTACCAGCATCTCAGGAGTGCTCTCAGGTAGGCAGGGCCCATCCACTCTATGCCTCTATTGGCCTGGCCTTGCCCTGCATCACAGCCAAGTGTAGAGGCCAGCACAGGAACTATGATGCTATGGTAATGACCCTGAGTCATCAGAAGAGGGTCAATTACATCTGGCTCCCTGTTCACGAAGGCAGGGAAAGAGATAATCTATCCAAGAAAGGCTATCATCAAAAATGTGTAGCAGGCTTGGAGTCAGAGACCTGCCATTCTAAGAGTCACCCCAGGCACGCCACTTAATCACACTGCACCTTGATTTCCTCACCTGAGAATGGGGATAATACCTGCCTAGAATTGTTTTGAGAGTCAACCAAGATAATATATGTGAAAGAGCTTGAAAAGGGCAAAGCCTGATTCAAATGCAAGGTGTTATTATTGTGATTACATTTATATCTTTATAAACATATATCTTCCCTGTAGATCGCAATATACTTTGTATGCACCATCCCATTTACCCTCATGACACTCTTGTGGAGACAGGCAAAGGCCACAGGCATTATTATCTCTACTTAATAGACAGAGAAA